GTCAGCACGGGCACGGCTGGGCATGCTGCTGGGAGGAAAGGGAGGTGTCCTGTGCCATAGCTGGCTGGGAGGTGCCTGGGGTGGCCCTGGGAGGTTCAGGGCCTGATGGTGTCCCTGTCCTGGCAGTGGCTGGCGTGGGCTTTGGGCTCATGAGTGGCGCCTTCTCCATGATCAATCTCCTGGCAGACGCACTGGGGCCCGGCACCGTGGGCATCCATGGGGATTCACAGCTCTACTTCCTGACCTCGGGTGAGCGACCAACACCCTTCACTCACATCTCTGCCCCATCACAGAGGTGGCAGAGCCGGGAGGCTGGAGTCTTCCTTCCATGCTCTCCCTTCCATGCTGCACCCTCCAGCCACCTGAGCCCCTGTCACATCTTTCTGTGCAACACCCTTTTTTCTGTCCCCTGCCACCCTTCCTGCACCTCTTCCCCTTCCCTTCCACACTTGGGGTCTGCCCTGGCACCTCCCAGTCTGGCCCAGCCCTACTCCCTTTCCACAGCTCTTCTCCATCCCTCCCAAAACCTGTGGGCCAGGTCAGGGTGGGTGGTTCCCTGGTGACACCCCTCTACTGCTCCCTGCAGCTTTTATGACCATGGTGCTGATTTTCCTTCACACCTTCTGGGGGATCCTCTTCTTCCATGGCTGTGAGCATCGGCGCTGGTGGGAGATCGTGGCGGTTGTCATCATGCACCTTGCCGTTTCAGGGTCGGTGAGTATCTGGGAGCAGCACTATGTGCTGAGACCTATATTTGGGGACAGCTGTGGTGCATGCTGGTCCCTGTGCTGAGGTGGGAACAGCCTTCAGCACTAGCGAAGCCTTTGGGTTTGGGGGACTTACATTATCCCTTCACAAACTGGATCCTGGAGCTGGTGTCCCCTGTCCCAATCCAGTCATGGAGCTAGTGATGCTACCACCCATCCTGTCCTTGTCCTCCCCTACCTGCTCACCCCTCTGCTCTCCCATCTCTCCCCAGACGTTTTGTAACCCCCTGTACGTGGGCAGCCTGGTGCCCTCCTACCTGCTGATGGCTGCTGCTGCTGCCTGGGCTTACCTGCTCTCAGGGGGATCTGCCCAGAACCTGCGGCGCTTTCTGCTCTGTAAGTCCTGCTCTGTAAAGGGGGTGGGGGACCCTCTGGGTACCAGGACTGGCACTGGGATGGGGAGAGGTTGTCCATGGGACTGGAAGAGGGTCAACATCCCATGGGCTGCCAGTCTGGAGACCATCCGATGGGCTGCCAGTCTGGAGAAGCTGGGTTTTGGGGCTGTGGTTGTCTGTTTGGGGGGAGGTGGGTGGAGCCTTGTGAAAACTGACCCCTTCTCCTCTCGGTTCCTGCAGGTCTACAGAGTGGAGCCAGCCCCCAGCCAGGATCTTGAGGTGCTGTGGGATGTTCCTGTCCCCAGCCACCCCTGCCCTCCCCTCCATCCTGGCGGCACGAGTGGCCGTCACCTTCTCTGCAATACCTTTTCTCCTGGACTCTGGAGGACCCCGGCCAGTCCCAGCGGGGCAGGCGCAGAGGTCCAGCTCTGGCAGCCAGCCGAGCGGTGTGGCTGGGGG